CATAGTTCTACAGTTCCCAATGTTAATTTTCGTAATAAAGAAAAATGAATTCCATTTATTTTAGAAATATGTTAATAACTTACTTAATTATATCAGGTAATTCTTTGTATCTACAGATATATTTATGTCCAAGTCCATAGGATGAATCTATTTTTATCATTTGGATATGATTTGTATTATTTCCAAAACTATCTAATGCTGCTTGATAAAGCTGAAACATGAACTTGTATGAATTTCTATTAATTTGTGATATTAATTTTTTAACAACTATTTTAGGCTTTAGCTCGCGAGCTAAACATTCTCATCTTTTCGCCATCTCATTGGACCAGATAGAAAACAAAAAGGGATAGAGACCAGAACAGCTAGAGTAACTTATAACTGGGTGCAACTATAGCATCTTATTCCTTTTGTTTTCTGTCTATCTCGCTTAACGAGACAATGAAGAAAAAGAACCATTTAACTCGCGAGTTAAATTTTGGACAAATCTGGTCTATATAATTGTACAGCAAAAGTACTGTAAATAATATATTATAATCATACCTTTTCTGCTAAGAAAACTGGAATTACACCATCATCTTCAGCATGTAATATCATAATAGGACAATCAATCTTAATAATATGTTTATCAGACTCAAATCGCAAATTATTCTTATAAAATGGTTCAACAGCCATCCAATGGAACCATGGCAAGTGTTTGAATATCTGTGTAAAACGCTTAAAAATTAATTTACATTTATTGGAAATAGTACAATTTATATCTAAATAGATAATAATTGTTGAGATATACCTGTGCAAATGGATGCTCTGTTAATTCATCTTGTATGTTATTGAATGGTGCTTCCAGAAATAATCCTGTTGGTTGTATATTTTCGGCTGCTAGCAGGGCTAATACATGCGTCGAAACTCTAATATCAAATAAAAAGTTATAATTATAAAATAAACTATTTCAATTTGAACGTTAAATACGAAGCGCTCTTACAGTTCCGAGTGTTAAGATGTTGAACTAACATTCATTTAAATTAAAATTAAATTAAATTAATTTATTTCTGAAATTACATTCATTAAAATTAAAATTAAATTAAATTAATTTATATTTCTGAAATAAATTAATTTAATTTAATTTTAATTTTAATGAATGTTAGTTCAACATCTTAACACTCGGAACTGTAAGAGCGCTTCGTATTTAACGTTCAAATTGAAATAGTTTATTTTATAATTATAACTTTTTATTTGATATTAGAGTTTCGACGCATGTATTAGCCCTGCTAGCAGCCGAAAATATACAACCAACAGGATTATTTCTGGAAGCACCATTCAATAACATACAAGATGAATTAACAGAGCATCCATTTGCACAGGTATATCTCAACAATTATTATCTATTTAGATATAAATTGTACTATTTCCAATAAATGTAAATTAATTTTTAAGCGTTTTACACAGATATTCAAACACTTGCCATGGTT